TGTGAAAAATGTGCCGAAATAAAAGTGAAGAAGGAAAGGACATTACATACATAGCCAAGTGAAAATAAACCTTGGTGTAGAGTACATATGGATCATGCCCATGTACAGGGTATCGGATTGTTTTTGATTTTAGTAGATTCTTTTTCTGGATGGCCGGAAGTTATTAAGGTAAATAACCGTGAAGCGGCCACTGGAGATCCAGAGGTTTTAGTATCCGACAATGCTGCGGAATTTCATGATACCACCTTACACCAGTGGCTAAAGAAAATCGGTTGCGTGCCTTATAAAACTCCACCTTACCACCTTCAATCTAACGGAGCAGTTGAAAGAATGGTAGAGACAGTCAAGATGGGTTTAAGAGCTTATTCACCGGACAAAGGTTTATTATGCGGATATTTAAGCAGAATGCTTTTAAGTTACAGAACAATACCTCATGTAGGAAGATCAAGGAGTCCTTCCGAGATGATGGCAAGGCAGTTGAGATCCCCTCTCACCATGAGTTTCAAAAGTGGAACATCGTTATGGTACCGCCAAAGACCAGATTCCAAACCTGAACCTGCTTTATTCATCTCTCAGGCAGGTTTAAAGACTGCGATCATATTAAGGAATAACTCTTCGGGTACGTTAGCAAATTGTGACCAAATAAACAAACGCCTAAATGAGCCTCGTATACTTATGAATAATGAAGACAGTATGCGGTATGATCATATCAATAATAAGAAAATTGATCCTTGCAATAGTGATAAATCTGATATGCCCGAACTACGTGTTACTAAAGGAGAGCCTAACCAGGATCGAAGAAGTACACAGTCGACAAGGGGGCAAAAGCCAATACGTTTCAGGGATGTAAAGCCGTGAACCTTAATTATATGTGGACAAATAAGAACAATGTTTATATATATATATATACATACGTGGCTATATTAAAATGTATAATAAAGATGGCTTACTTATAAGAATATATATATTTAAACATAGTACAGTGTTTTATTAACGACACTACAGACAAGAAAAGCTGCAGTTGCTGAAGTCGAAGATGTAGTGCAGAAATGGCTTCAAAACGCAAAAGATAGGAGCCAAGGTCGCGCAAGCGGATTTATATGTTAATTTTGTAATTATTTATATGTTATTATAAAAAAGATTTATATGTTAATTTTGTAATTACTTGTACTAAGTTTCACTTAGCCCAAATAAATAATTTAAATAATTTAAGACTTGGATTTAATAAATTTTACTTTAGATTAGTTGAGATCTTTTAACCAATGTGTTAGAAACAGTGATAATACTTCATGGGTATGCAAGAAATTATAAATTTGATGAAAAAATATAAAATAAAAGTTTTTGCATATAAGTTTTACTTCCAGACTAATATATTCATTTGCTTTTTAGTTGAAGTAAGATATATTTTGATAAACAACAATGCTTCATTAAATGATGTAGATGCCTAAAGATGACAAATGTTCTGCGATGTCGAAACACCCTAGTTTTAACTAATAACATTAAATCAAATGTCTAACTTGCGAACCGCATATCGACAACCATATAAAATTTTTCATATATTATTATTTAATAGTTAATTTTAATTTGAAGTGTATACAAAATATTTAAGATAATAATTGAAACACAAATATTTCGTCGTTTTGTTATGTATTTTTCTATTATTTCCCTTTCTATTTTACAATCGCAGCGAATAACAGTCACTTTAGTAATCTCATTTATTGATCGAAACTAAAACGGGCTAATGTCATTTTACTGATATCGGCCCGACGTCATTTTACTGATATCGGCCCAACGTCGTTTTACTGATGTCGGCCAGACGCCATCGGGCCTACATCATTCTGATGAGCAAAAACTACATCGGCCCAATGTAGTTAAACTACCATTCATCTAAAAAATGTTTTCAGGGAAATTGTAATTTCCCAGCAAGCATTCTATAGTGAAATTTTAGTGAACCTATCTAGGCATTTTATCCACTAAGTAACCAATGAGCACTATGTAAAAAATAAGCAACTCTAATGACCCCTTTAAATGCTTATACAAGACTTATATACGCATTTTTAGGAATCATTGGAGCTTCTTATTTTTTACATAGTGCTCATTGGTTACTTAGTGGACATATATACTTTATATCATTTATATTTACAAATATTACTTATATTATAAACAGGGTTTACCTTTTTTCCTGGAATTCCGGATATTTCTTTCAACTTTCAGTTTTTCCGGATTTCCGGATATCCGAAACATTTCCCAAACATACGTTTGTATGTATTTATACGTTTGTATGTACTTATACAACATTTCCATAAATACATTTGTAATACATTTGTTTTTAAAGCTTTTCACTCATCACACTTAGAAAAAAAAAACCTTAAATCCATAAATCTAGACCAATAATAAATAAATGTAACTAAATAAATCTAGACCAATAATAAATAAATGTAAACCAAGATTTTGTCGCTCATGTATTCAGTTTTGTCAAATTGTGATGAAGTTTCTGATAATGAAATGGATTGTGAAATTGATGGTGATGTATTATTTGTTAAAGATAAATCTTGTAGTAAACAACAGTTAAACAACTCTTTAATATCAATTGGAGTCTCACCAGTTAAAGTTCATGGAATCGCAAAGCATCAATGAGTTGTAACAGCAAAAAGAAAATTAGTCAAAGGCTACACAAAAATGGAAGAAAGTGTAGCAAGTACTTATGGAGTAAATATAGATAACTTAAGTGTAGCCTCGACTTTTTTCAGTCATCCTATGGATAAAAAAAAAAGCAAACGATCTTGATCATTTGACAACTTTAATAAAAGAAAAATTTAAAAAGTTAAACTATTTTTTAAAAAAAATCAAATATTAACACTTACACCTGAATCTTGGTCTAGAAAATACGCTTCAGAATATTTTGAAGTTTCTGAACATCTTATACGACGTGCTAGGAAACTTAAAAGTGCAAATGGAATTCTTGCTATACCTGATAAGAAAATGTCCTCCACAACAAAAAAGATTATTATTGTGCAACCTTCACAAGCTTTATATTGATTTTAAAAGTAAATACCCTAATTATAAAATAGGATTTTCAAAGTTTTGTAGTTTGCATCCAAAATGGTGTATTAGTGTGGGACTAAACGGCACACACTGTGTATGTGTTTGTATTTACCATCAAAACTCAATATTGCTTGTAAATGCTGTCTAATGGAATGTTACATACAAAAATTTAATGTCAAAATTAACATGTGATATAAGCAATAATGAATGCATGGTTCATAGATGTGCCAAATGTCCAGGTTATGATAACTTAAGGGCATTTTTAGACGAGGAATTAATTGAGATTGATGAAGAAGAAGAAATTCAATTCAACCAATGGCAAAGTACTGATAGATCACAATTAATTACTCAATCAGTTAACTTATTTGAATATAAAGAACTAGTTGTTTGTCACATTAATCATCTAACTTTGTTTTTTAAGTTTACTAAATGAAGTTTGATAAATATAAAACTAATGTTTTATAAGTAATAAATTTAAGTATATTTGAAGATGTTTTTATTTCTGATTTAAGACTGCAATCTGATTCTTTGTAATAACTCTAACTAAACTATTTAATACAACTTCTAAAAAAAAAACTAAATTTGCAATATACATCTGCATTTATATAATTCTCCCCCTTCGAAACTAAATTTTTTTAAGATCAGATTCTAAAAAATTACAAAGAAAACAGAAACAGCTAGTCAACAACAACTAAAAGAACAGTTTGATGTAGCCAAAACTGTTTCAGTTGCAAAACTGTCAAATTACCACTTTTTTTTTCTTGCTTAATTTATCATAATACTTGTTTTTTAAGCAATAAATTTAAGTAGATTTGACCATATTTTTATTTCTGTTTTAGAAAAGACCACTCTCCAATTCTTTGTAGAAACTATAGCTTAACTGCTTAACTATTCAGGACAACTTCTAAAAAAAAAAAAAAAAAAAAAATCGAGCTACATCAGCATTTTTGTGATTGGACTCGCCCCAGTAAAATGGTGGTAAACGTTCAAATTTTAGGTGTTATACTTGTTTTTAAATATTTTAAGTTGTTTCATTGGATTCGTTGGCCCAAAATATGTAAAGGTACAAATTTTCAGCTTTCCAACACAAATATAACAGAAACTAGGACCAAAACTATTTTTAAAAATAGCGGATTTTCGTTGGTTGGAAGCAAACTTAAAATAGCTATATCTTAGGAACCAATTATAATTAGACAATAAAATTTTCAGGATGTTCATAATTTTCTAAAATCTTTAAGTGGTTTAAAAATCAGCAAAATCTGAGACTTATGGTTGCATTTTCAAAAAAATTGGATGTTTTCACATGGAATCTCCCCACATTAACTAATATTATAAGAGATTTATTTATGCTATAATAAACTAACTATATTAATAATAAAAATAGAAGTATTTGAGCAATGTAGGTTTTTGTGACACCCAGGGCATAGTCGCATTTTTAGTACCTTTTTGCAAGCTTATTTTGTACTTATTGCATCAATCATCTTAGTATCCTAAATAAAAAGTAAAATATAAAATGTTGATGGTGTTGATCTATTTAGTGATTGCGCTAAAAAAATCAAGGCAAAATTTGTTTACTAACATTGCTATATTTTAATAAAAACAACAATTTTTTATTTATTCGTTTGTAGATGAGCTTTTTTTAAATTATAATACAAATCATATGACAAAATTGCATAAGGGTGCCAGAGATAAAACTCTGAATGAAACATAAATAAAGGACCAAGTAGCTACATTATTATATTTTTTTTCTTGTCACTTTAAAAAGATTTCATATAAGAATATTTTTATCAAAATTGTATTTATTTTACTTATTTATAATACCATCTTATTATATTACTAATATTAATATTAGTAATATAATAAGATGGTAAAATAAATACATATAAATAATACTAATTAGTATTATTATTACTCATAGTATTATTATTATATGATAATATTACTTTTGTAGAAGAAAAGTTATTCAAAATATTTTAGATGGAAGTGAGACTAAAATGATTAAAATAAGAATTACAGCAGATGACTTTGGCTATTGCAAACAACGTAATTTAGGTATACTGGAAACTATAGATAATGGTTCAGTAAATAGTGTTTCTATTCTTATGAATGGGAGTGATGTGATTAAATTAAATAAAGATGTCCAAAAAGGGTTGCATGTTAATCTTACTGAAGGTACTTCGACATCTGAAAAATCAACTGTTTCAACATTATTGGGACCAGACCAGTTATTTTTAGGAAAGTTTGGATTTAGAGAAAAGCTCTGTAATGGGGAAATATCAAAGAATGAAGTAAGAATGCATTTTATTATTATTTTAATAACTATATAGTAAAGATTTAATGTTAAGTTAATTAAAACTCATTAGTTTTTTTTACTATAAAGAAAAAACTTTTAAAAAGTAAATAAAATTTTAGAGGAATGTTTTTTATTTCAATTTTAAAAGAAAAATGTTACTAAGATAATCAGTTTACTTAAAATTCTTTATTAATTTATTAGTAGTTTAGGTACGTAAACAACAATCATATAGAAATATAGAGACTATACTTGAACACATAGATAACAATGGTTAAATAGGTTAATTTTAAGTATAGCAATGGAACAACACAAATTAAATTATTCTAAAAAACAACATTATGGTAATAAAAGTTAAAGTACATTCAGCTGTTAAATTAAAGTTTATAAATATTGTCTTAAGAATAAACAAGTTTGCCTGTAAATAAAGTCAAAATAAACATTTGCTCAAAAAAAATTTAAAATAATGCATAAAGTTGAGTTAATAATTTAATTATAATCATAATACATGATAAAAATAATAAAATACCATTGGTAGAAAATTGGTAAATTAATAAAAAAAGGCCAATACCAGTTGTGCAAATTGTGGCAGATTAATTAGTACATCACTAATTAGTGATGTACTGATTGTGTACTGTAGTGATATGTATATATATATATATATATATATATATATATATATATATATATATATATATATATATATATATATATATATACAAAATTATATATTGGGTGGTTCCCAACTCGGCGCTTAAATACGGTGTTCGCTGTCAAAAAAGGTCTATAATAGCCCCTGTATGTATATATATATATATATATAGTCTTGCATGGTAGTCACAAAGTTTTTCCCATAAACTGTTGTTTTAAAGAGCGCATTAATAAGCCTGACCAGAAAATGTTGAAAAACTTCAGAATTTTTTTTTTTTTTTAAATGATAGACTGCCTGCCCAAACTAAACCCTCAGTCGATGTAGCAGCACTCCCTTGCAAGTCAGGCTATTTGTCAGTCAATGTAGCAGCACTCCGTTGCGAGTCAGGCTATAAGATAGTCGATTTAGCAACACTCCCTTGTAGCAGCAGGCTATAAGATAGTCGATGTAGCAACACTTGCGTATGTTTTAAAAATGTTTTTTAATAAAACAAAAACAAAAACACCACTAATTAAAAAAAACTTTCTACTCATTATTATTGTAATTTTTTTAAAAAACATATATATATATAGTAATAGTAATAGTAGTTAATGTTGTACCGGACAAATCCAGTGAATGTGATGTCACACACACTATGACAGCAGGTATGCTTGATTGCTACTCAGCCAGCAATCAGAGCTCTTTTAAAACAATTAACCAAATTTGCTTGTTTAAATCGAAAGTAAGTTCCATGTATTCGCTATTCTGTTAAAAAGAAAATGTTCCCTCGAACGATGTTTTGTGAATTCTTTGTGGTATTTAAAACAATTCCCTCTTAAAGAATTTTTAACAAGGGAAAACGTTTTCGGTTTGTTTTGTCATAGCATAAGTTTGTATAATTCTATCAAATCTCCCTTTTTTGTTCTCTCAGTTAAGGCTGTTAAGCCTAAAGTAATAAGTTGATCTTCATATTTGAGACTGATAATTGAAGAAACAATTTTAGTTGCTTTGTGTTGTATTTTCTCAATTGCATTACAATCTCCTTTCATATAAAGAGACCAAACTGGAATTGCCAATCCAAGAAGTGAACAAATGAATGTTAATTAAAGAGATTTCATAAGTTAACAATCAAAGCTTGCAAATGATTTCTTTATTCATCCCAGCATTTGATTTGCTTTTCCAATTGCCATAGTTACTTCATCTTTCCATTTAAGATTTCTAGAAAATATAACTCCAAGATCTCCTTCAGACTTAAAATCATAAAGATGTATACCATTAATAAAAAGCATATAATTTTTATTAGTTGAGCCATAATGCAACACAACACACTTGTTTATGTTGAATTTCAGCAATCAGTCATTTGAGTCCATTTAAATGCTTTATTCAAGTCATTCTGGATTTCATTGACACAAATCTGAATTTACTATTGATAAAATTTTGGTATCATCAGCATATAACTTTGAAACATTTTTTATTGTGTCTGGAAAATCATTAATATAGACAACAAAAAAGGAATGGTTCAATTACTGAACCCTGAGGCACACCACTAAAAACTTCAACATAATTAGAGACAATTTCACCCTTAACTACTCTCTGTCTCCTATTTGTGAGAAATTATGCAATCTATTTCAATACTAATCCATTAATACCTTAAGCTTTTAGTTTTAGTAACAATCTGTTATGAGGAACTGTGTCAAAGGCCTTTGTAAAATCTAGTAGAACAACATGGATTATGATATTTGATGTTTAATGTTACAAAATCAATTGTTTCTAATAGAATTGTTGTGTATGATTTATTCTTTATGAATCCGTGTTAATGCTCTGTTAGCAAATTATTTTTGTAAAAATAAGTTTCAATTTTGTTAAGAATAATACCTTTTAGTATTTCGCACACAACTGATGTGAGGGAAAATGGTCTATAATTAGCTGCAACTGCCTTGTCACCTTTTTTGAAAAGGAGTTATATTTGAAGATCTAAATTGAATTGGAAGTTGGCTTGAAGCTAATAGTTCTCTAAAGAATAATGTTAAATGAAATGCGAACACCTCTGAAGCATTCTTAAGCATGGCAGGATGGAGTTTATCAGGTCCTAAGGCTTTGTTTTTGTTAAGACTCTGAAACCTTTTTCCTAATCAGGGGTTTAAGTTCTTTGTTTATCCAAGGAGTTTATAATATTAATAATTATCAATAAATTATAGTATAAATAATTATCAATAAATTGCTTGCAATGTTTGAGTAATAAATCAATTCATTATACATATCCTGAACTGGCATATTTTTGTACAGTTGTACCCAGTCAATGTTTGAAATAAATTGAGAAATTTTTTCACCTTTTTGTAAACAAACTTATAATAGTTCGTAGTTTAGAGTTTTATTTTATTTTTAAGAAAGTAATTAAAAAATATTAGCAAATGTCCTTTAGTAGTATCACCAAGCACAAACTGTGTATCTATTGTACATACATTTCCAGATTCAGTTGTAAAAATCAAATCCAATGTGTTAAGTGCTATTTCATTTGAAACTTGGAAAGTTGGAGTGCTTATATGCTGATATAGAAAAGTGTCATTTAATGTGTTACTGAAGATATGTTCAATCCCTGAATTGTTATTAATAGAAGATACATTTCCATTAGACCAATTTTATGAAAGAAAAGTAAAATCTCCCATAATTAAAAATCTTTAAACCCTTTTTTATCAACATAATTTCTGGCTTCTTTAAAAACTAAATCAAAAGCAGCCATATCAATAAAATCATTTGGTCAACCAACTAAATATTTATCTTTACCAAAGAACAATACAACACAGATTTTTTCAATTTTGCTCTTTTTACATAAGACATAAAACACCTTCTCTTTGACCATCACATCTATCTCTTCTATAAATGTTATACCCCTGAATATTGACTATTGAAACACTTTTGAACCAAGAGTCTGTAAATCCAATTAGATATGGACGATTTGTATTGACAACAACCGTAAATACATCAAATTTATTTTCTAAAGATGATGCATTTAGGTACATCCATTTCCAAAAAATATTATTTATTATGTTTTGATAGAACTCTTTATCTAAGTTATATGTTTTTTTTTGAATTATTGGATTTGATTTCGACGCATTCCATATCGAAAGGGAGAGTTAGAATTTAATCTGTTTCTCTCTCTTTTAAGTTAGTAATGCAATTGCCTTTCTGCTTCAGTTAAATCTGGGCTTATATATACTGATTTATGAACTTTGCTATTTTTCAAGTTTTTGGCTACTAAAAGTATTGGATTTTTTAGACTCGTTTCACTAAGTTCAACAAGGATAGGACCAGGTTTTGTTAAATCTTTAGGATGCAACCTTCTCAAATATACTGGTTTTACTATAGCTTTATTAATAAAAGACCTTTAATTATAATAACTTTAGTTGCAAGTTTATCTTCTGTATTTTTCTCTAGAAATACTTCTTTTTTCGATTCAGGTACTCCAATAACAATATTTTTTTGGGGTTTCTCTCTCATTTAACTCATTGATTGTTTCATTTTCAACAGTTAACTGATCAACTGGCTTTTTTGAATTTTTACTTCCACTTCTTACTATCTGAACCCAATCATTGCTAATACTAGAAGATTTCAACTTATCATTTGTTGCATTCAAGTCCGATCTCAATTTGCTAATTCCACATATGATATTATTTCATATATATATATATATATATATATATATAAATATATATATATATATATATATATATATATATATATATATATATATATATATATATATATATATATATATATATATATATGCGGTAGTGGTGTAGTGGTAGAGCGCTCGCTTCATAAACGAGTGGTTCCGAGTTCGATCCCCACCACGTCCCTGGTAGTACCGCGCTCAACTCGTTTCTCTGCGCAGCGGCCTTGTTCGTCAAGGTTCGTGTTTCGGAGTTATAGAGTTGAGAGAGGGTTATAGCCACAAAATAAGTAGCCTCCTTGTCTGTAGTGGCCTATTCGGACTTGAGGAGGTGAAGTAAAATAAAATATATATATATATATATATATATATATATATATATATATATATATATATATATATATATATATATATATATGTATATATGTATATATGTATATATATATACACACATATATATATATATATATATATTTATATATATATACATATATATTGTATATATATATATATATATATATATATATATATATATATATATATATATATATATATATATATATATATATATATATATATATATATATATATATATTGTATATATGTATATAAATATATATTGTATATACAATAAACACATGTATATGTTTTATATACATATAATTTATATATATATATATATATATATATATATATA